AAGTCTTGAAAACTAAGCTGTCACGCAGCTCCAGCTTGATACCCAATAAAAAAAAATGCCTTTTTTTGGAAAAAAAAATCCCATTGTGCACTGCGTGGACAATCATATTTTTTTTTATTTATATGGGTGTGGACATATCATTGCTTATCTTTTGACAGATATGCACATTTCGTCCCCAAATTGTAAACTTTCTCATACAAACCAACGTATCTGTCGAAAGGAATTTACATCGATTAGAATTCCCATGTAGGAAAATCCCATTGCATTCCATTGAGAAGCAATTAAATCTCACTCACACCTGCTTCAGCTTCCATTTCATGATACAATTATTCCCTATTCAGACAGAACCCCATTCTGTTCTGGAATTTCCGCAACATGCCCTAATCTTCGTCCCCCGGAGGTGACCTAAACTATTTATCACTCACCCAGTCACACAGTAGAGTGGTGCACGCGTGTCTACACCTCTGCCACTTATTTCCAGGCTTACCTCCACGTCGCCCGGTACAGGAATTTGCATAATTTGTGAATAACGAACATGTCGCACTAATCTGACCGAACTTGTTGAACCATATAGGCTCTGTTATTTGTTTATTGGTCCGCGCGCGTTTCAAGCGCTGTTGCCCTGTCCGAAAGAAGTTACAAACAACACAGCGGTCCTGAGTGTCAAGGAAAATATTTGGATTGCAATTTTAATTTCTCTGTCCCTGCGTCCCTCCCCTTACCCTGCAGCGAGCTTTTAAGACAGGATTGAAAGCTGGTGTGTGTGTGTTACTCATTTTGACGCTGGCTGCCAGACGGAAAGACAGACAGATCATTCTAATAGCAAGGCAAGATAGATATTGCGCGAACTGGTGCTAAACGGATTGCAAATAAATCATTTCAAGTATGTGAGATATTTGTTCAGTTGCGTGTTATTGCCGCCGGGGGAGGTATGTACCCCCAACGATTAAAGGGTCGACCCGATAGCAGACACCTGTATGTAAGTGCACCCAACCGGATTGTAGTGGTCGACACGTGAAATGAATGATTTCGTTCTTTCATCAATTATGCCTGCACTAGCTCAGAGTCAGTCAGTCAGCTAACAACGTAGCAATAGCTTAATCAAGAAATCCACCCGCCAGATTGCAACATGATTTGGGTTTGTTTGATTTTCGCAATAACAACTCCCAGGTGCTGCAGATTTAAACAAACTAGCACCGTTCAACATTGTTGTCGAAATACCTGTAGATTTTAACGATCCTGCGGTTGATATCGTGCGATTTGAAAGGATTAAGCCACAATCCAATTGCGGCCGGGTGCGAAAGAATGTCACTGGTATCATTTTTCATAAAACCCCATCCGAGCTGGTGTTGGTGCTGCTCTTCGTGCGACCGGCACACGCTCTAATCACCCAATTAACGACTTCATTATGGGGTAGCCCGGCAGACATCGAGAGAAGTAGCGACCACCACCCAACCAGCATCGAACGGCATGTTTTACATACGTCGCCTGCATTTTGCGACCCGGTTAGGTGTCCAATTAGTCTTAAACTCAATCCGACTCACGATTTTTCCTTCATCGCCATCTCCCCCACGGGGCGGGGGGTCTCTGTGTAGAAAACCGCATCTCACGCATCACTCTCTTTAGCCAACCAACCCTCATCAGCAGCATCGCCACCACCGGCATCATCGTTGACGTCGCGCACTGGTCGCCGGAGAGACAGCTTGGGTGTCTTGTGTGTTGATATTTGAGACCCGTAACGTTAACCGAGACTGCGACCGACATAAACGAATCTACCGCAAAGAGTTGTAGAGAGCACATACCGAGCAGAAAATGTGATAATCGGCTGTAGAGTGTGGCATGCGGAATCGCATACCAAATATCGAAGCGATGTCGCAGGTTGATGCCGTACTGTGCAACACTGTCAACGGAGATGTTGCGTTGCGCGTGTTGGTTTTGGCACTCGGGAGCATCTGTAAAAGTTTCTGAGAGAGTGTAGCCTTAAATTTCATAATAGCTCAAATTCGACTAGGTATCTCAAAACTACCATACACTGATGATGTCTCATAATGATTTGAAAAAAGGTGCAGACCTGACGTAGTGGCCAGCGTAAAAGAATCCTGCCGGCTGCTTGCTCTTGCTTTAACCTGTGCCCAGGACAAATTCCTTTTGACCCTTTCGCCCCTTCGTTGTGTTGTGTAGCCGATTCAGCTTCCTGGTGATATTAGCTGACGAGACAGCTCGGCGATTGAGATCCAATTGTGAGACCGCATGCATCGGTTAAATCAAGGCCTGTAGCTCTTGAGTGTTCTCCTTTTTTGCTGGCGTATAACAGAACAGATTTGTTCGATTGTTTGTATTCTTCATCTGACAGGGTTTTCTTCATGATGCTGGAATTTATTTCAAATTATTCTCCATTTTTTTTTTTGGATCATCCTTAGTTTCTTTGATATTTTTTGTTCGGAATTTCCTTGAATGTCCTCAGTATTCCTTTGAAATTATCTTCAGAACACAATTTTAATTCTATTTGAACTCCCATATGCGTTCTCTTGGAATTCTCATCTAATATCTCCTACTATTCTCAACACGATTCCCGATAAATTCTGCTCAGAATCACCTAAGAATTCAATTCTGAACTTCCTTTCTTCTATAGAGAAATTCCTCTGAACTTAACATTATATAAAAGCCGGGATTTTTTTTTAATTTGTACCGGAAAACAGGGAGGTTGTATCAGGAGTTCATAAATGGTTGACTGAGCTAGATAATTGATGTCTTCAATAACGTTTTCTACAATTTTGCTGATGAATGCAACCTCCTACAAAAAAGTAAAATTTCAGATTTAAAATTAAATGAGGACCACCACAAAAAAAGGAGAGGCTCTAAAATCGTTCAAAAACTGTCTACGTTTGCGATCCACTTTGAAAATTTCGCATTATCTCACGACCCACCAATATTGAATACACATATTGTAAGGCCAATATGAATTGGTCTTCAAACTACATTGTCTGAAACCCAAACACAAAATAACATTGGAACGGCTTAAAAATGACTAAATAGCAAGAACAAAAATGACCTAAATCTCCAAAAATAGCCTTAAAGCTCTGACATTGAACGCCCTGAAACCCTTAATCTTGAAATCAGCGAAATAACCTTTAGAACATCAAAGCATCACTCCAAAATCGCTTAACTATCCTATTATTATCGGCTTTGAAAACATAAAAATTTATCTTGATGAATTTAATTCCACTGCCTTATTTGCTTATCCTTGACAGATATGCGTATTTCGTCTACAATGTGCAGACTTCTTCAGTGTCTTGTACCAGTCGAGTATTAGTACAAGACACTGAAGAAGTCTGTACATTGTAGACGAAATACGCGTATCTGTCAAAGATAAGCAAATTAGGTAGTGGCATTAAATGGAAATTACTGATCCTTATACTAAAATCACCTAAATAAAGACAAAAAAATCTCTATAATAAAGACAAAAAAAAACTAAATCCGCCAAAAAACTCTTTTAATAATTTGAAAACGACAAATCTCATTGAACAACGTTACAACTAAAAAAAAACTGTGTGAAATTCCCTAAAAACACTAAAAGCCCAATAAACTCTAAAAATTGTACAACAACGATAAACCCGACCCAAAAACTAAAAATATGGCATCAAAAAGGGTACAAAAAGTAAAAATGGCCTAAACTTTTCATACTATTTTAAAAATTCCATAATTTGCTGAAAACACCAAAAATTACCAAAAAATCATCAAAAATTGTCCAAAAATGTCATAATGGTTCAAAATACGTAAAAAAAAAATGTCGAAATGGTCTAGACTTCCAAACTTACATTAAAATTTCAAATTTAAAAACAAAACACCACAAATGACAAGAGAAATCCACAGCTGATCTAAAAAACGACAAACATGGCCAAAAACATCAACAAAGCACGAAAATTGAGGAATTTTACAAAATGCACTAGACTTTTCAAAACGGCTTCAAAAATGCCATAACAATCGACAAAATACTTTGAACATACCTTTTTTTTTCCTTGATTTGTTTTCCGCCGATCTTGTTTTCCGTGCTGAGCACCAATGCTACTGACGCCAGGGAGGCAATTCTCACACCTGGACCCTACCTATCAACCCATCAACTCATGAACCGAGGACCAACGGCTTTACTTCCATTCCGAAGGAAGGCGTGATCAGAGATGTTATGCCTCAGAACATCTCGGCGGTGCCGACTGGGATTGAACCCAGGCCTGCTGTGGTGAGAGGTAATCACGCTTACCACTACACCACCGGTGCTGCTGAACAGTCCTTTTAATAGTCTAGACATTGATTGATCTTTGAACTTCTTAAAAAAATTTGAGATGGCAAAATATTAAAGAAAATAAAATTCTGGTAAAAATAGTTACATGAGTTTTAGAAAATTCTATGCTTCTATCAATTTGAATTAAAATTTTCGCTGGTGTTTAATAATTTTAAATTCATTAAGTTTTTACTCTAACAATACAAAAAACCATTAGTTTGCTATTTTAAATCAATTTCAATTATCCCAACATAATAATAAATTATTCATGAAATTTTGAAAACATGACCAAATTGTTTAAATATCTGCGACCCACTGGAAGGCAGCCCACGACCCACCGGTGGGTTGCGACCCATAGATTGAGAAACGCTGGTCTACGTAGTTGATAAACAGAACCTTATCGACTTTTTCATTAGTAGAATTTAATTCCGAACTATTTCTAGGATGACACCAACCACCAAAAATGAATAGAACTGGCTTAATATGTTTTTCCTGCTAAATTGCCATTTCGGACCACAGTGCATTGGTTAGCAGCTTGATACAGTTTATGATGACCTTGAAATTAGTAATTGTTTTTCAATAACGTATAAAATAATAAATCTCGCTACGCCTCCGCACATGAACCTAATTGATGGTATACAATACTACTAACTAACACGCTAACACGCTACTTAACCATTATAAATAAACATTTTTTTCAATCTAAGCTTTCACATTCAAAATGTATTTCTACCTGTTTGTGCTACCGTGCTTGTTACTTGCACTACAACATTCCTTTCTTCCAACTGTTTTTGGAGTACAGGTAATGTACGAACATTTCCGCCAAATAAATGGCACCGATCTGCTCGACGCGAGTTCTGTGAGGATTAGGAAATTAAATCGTACCACTTCCGCCATGAATGGAACGTTTATCCTCAAGGAACCTCTGGACAACAGCTACAAGGTAATTGATTCACTCGAATTGTAGATAATTGAAACAAAAATGTTCTTGATCTGTATGTTGTCCATCAGATTGGTATAAGCGTGTACTACAGCCGGCTGGGGAACAACCAATTCATCCACTATCCGATGAAGGTGCCTTCGATAGGAGTTTGTGATTTTTTCAGTGAGATTTATCCTACGTACTACCCGTACCTGAAGGAAGGAGTTGTTAATTTTCCACCCACAACAGAGTGTCCACTGACTCCGAAGGTTGTATATATCCGTGACTATGTGGTCTCGCCATTTCTTGTTCCTCCATTCGTTCCCAAAGGATTGTGGCGTGTTAGGCTTACGCTGACACACAACGAGGAAGCCGTTGTCATTACCGACACCATGAGTAAATTGTATTCAGATCTTGATTGGTAATTTCCGAATAAAAATATTGTTCCATTCATTTTGTATGACCTTGAAAACATCGCATCTTCCTTTCACGTGACAAGTTGTCACTACCATTGCATCTAGGTACATACTCACCGTTCGGCCCCCAGTTGGTCCAATCAACTTTTCGAACGTCCTTCAAGGTCGTCGTCCAGGCGTTAATCGTCTTACCGTGTCAGTCGACTGGGGGCCCATAAAATTTCACTTTCGTTTCACTCCTGCAATGACTTCTTGTTCTTGTTATTTTGTTTCAATGTTACCCGATCCAGCAATGATCGTGCTGCTGCTGCATCGCCAAATCCTATCAGTATCACTACAGGCGTCAGCGTACGGTGAAATGCTTGAGGATGGCGCCAGCGTGAAACCTTCGGACGTGCATATGTCAATAGTCTCGCGAGATCGTGGTTCATAGGCACAGCATCCATCGTGTTTCAACCTTCAGCAAGCACACATATACATATTTGCGCAGGTTCTGTTGTTGTTGCGCCGTCGTCGTCAGGACACCATCACGATAAAGATTCATGATAATTATGGCGTCATTTCTGCTTCCCCCTTCCTTTAAACCTCAGTTCAATGGCGACGGTGCTGATAGTGGTGGTGGATTGCTGTTAATTTCAGTGAGCCTTAATCTTAAATAGTATAAATTACGCGCGTGTCTTCTCGTGTTCTCAGCAGGACCGCCTGGTTCGAACAATTCTGAACGCGAACCATTTGGGGATCTGTTACGTTTTTTTTTTTCGTTGTTGTTCTCTGCATTCAGTGGGGTACACTCAATCACTTCGTAGAACGAGCTGAGCTGAAGGTATGAGTTGCAGCGTGTTTGTATCTAGGAAACGAGCAATCACGTCCGAAGGCGAAGAAACGACTTTGCAAAAGTGTGTCCAAATTTGGAGCAGTTAAGGTCAGCTGTTGATGAGTAACCGATAGTTATATAATTTTATCTCGTTTTTTTCCTCTTTTTGCACCAACAAGTCACCAGTGTCTGAGGTCGCACACATCTCGACGGATAGGCTGGATTTATGTACCCACATGCGGACATAAATTGAACCATGTATATCTTACATACTCCCTTCGGTCATGCTATCGTCGTTGTCGAAGTTGCCGCGGCTTCACGTTGTCGTGAAGTCGTGAATGAGCATTCGTTTAATCCTATTTATGAGCAATTTAGCTCGGCCGGAACATACAACACCAGCAGTGCATGTAGTATAGGTACCTACTATGTAGTGTTCTCTGTGCAGCAGTGTCAGATGCGAGAGATGACCGTAGCAGAGTGCAGCGCAGAGATTGATACTCAAATTGATGTGGTCGTTAATTTCAATGCGCTTATGCAGCAATCAGTGTACATGATCGCGCATTAACGATAATGTGGTTTAAGTTCTTGGGCATCGGCAGATGGCGGTCGCTGGGGACTGATAAATGATAAAAGAGGCTTTTGCAGTGATGCTGCCATGAATTATTCGAAAAAGGAAGTTCCATGATTATTATCACGGCGATAGTGGAGTGGAGTGTGATCGATGAAATGCCTGAATTACAATATTGTTTAACGTGGTTAGAAGGTTTCGATTATTTCGAAAGTCTTATGCCAATATGTACATTTTTTTTGCTATACTGACTGCAATTAATTATTTTAAATTTATTATTTGATCAATTGTCCCACAAGTGCTTGCAGTTTGGACCAATTTTAGTTTGGGATTAAGATCCTTTGTATTCCGTTTGTATGGGTTATCTTATTTCAGAAAGGTATACGTTTTAATATGGCTGACTAGTTTCAATAATTAGATTCAAACTCGTACTAGTTTTCGATTTATCTATCGTATGTTTATGATTTTCGTATTGATGTTTATTTTCTCGGCATTAATAGCCACTTAGTGAGTTGATACATCTATTTGTGCTGGAACTTAAACGACAAGTCTTGACAAACTGTATGTGTGTCCTCCTCTACCCCTCACCCAGCTGGGAGTGTTGAACAAATAGAACCGCGAATAATTTAATCAAATCTAATGTTCCGTAATAGTGCCCTTTATGTTGTGAAGATCAGTACTCTTAAACGGATAACTTTTAAGGAAAGACAAGGTGTCCTCAACTAGTTTAAAGAAAAGGATGTACTAATGTCCAAAACAGGAACAGTTAAACATCACATAGACGTTCTTATTTGCACTATCTATTCAGGGATAGAAGGAAAAGAAGGGCCACTGCAGCCAACTGAAAAGTCTGGACACACTGGAACTTAAATGATTAGTCCTATAAAAATTTGTTCAAAGAGATAATTGTAGCAAATCGTGTAAACTTTTATTAAAACATCTAATAAAAATTGTATTCCTCCACTGAAAAATAAAATCATAATAAAGCGGATTTTGTCTCGAAGACATCATTTTTGAATATTATGTTTTGTTTTATCTTAAAAGCTAATTATCAACAAATCGTCCTTACATTGCAAGATGGGCACTTATATAGGAAAACAGTTCTTCTAACAACAACTTTTTCACGTCCCACTGAAAGAAATCTAGGCAGACGAATTTCATCCCAAAATAGATGAATTCCATGCAGCACCGTCTCAAATCTGAATAAAACATTTCCGGTGAGAAAACTTTACCTAGACACCAGGGCAGTGATGGCATAATCCTCACTCAAATGATTTTGTTTCGCTCTCAAGGGCTCTCAATATCACGCATGATATTGGAATAAAATATCAAGCATGATATTGTTTTTACAAGCTCCTTTGATATTGCGAGACTATTCAGAACATGTTAAATTGCAGAAACGAGTTGACTTACCACAAAAATGATTCCTTTGCACATCGTTTTCTTAGAAAGAGAAAGCATAGTTTGCTATCTTTCTTTACGCTTCACAGATGGCAGACACGAAGTTACTGCTGCCAGCAGCGATGGAAGTTTCGTTTCATGTTCGGATGAACAGCAAAAATCTTGAAGCTCAAACTCAACACAGTTTGGTGAGAATTGTAGCCGGGGAGTTTTGTTAGCATGATATCATAGCAACCGTATCACAGCTTGTAATATCATCGGCTGTTGTTTGCGTGTTGAGTTTTGGTCTACGATACTCAAATGAGATTATGCACATTGGTGAGATTAGATCTTTTGATATTTTCACAACACTGCACCAGGGTGACCAGTGAACCAACAAATCGGGAATCCGAAGTCACCGGGAAAAACCCGCGAATTTCGATGACAAATCGGGAAAAAGTACACTTCGTCCTCTTTTCGAAAAGAAAAATTGATGGTCTTCGATAAAATTTCAATACAGCACCGTATTTTCGGGATAAAGTCACTTAGAAGAAACATCAAAAGGATTTTAGAAATTTTGATGAGATTTTAGAATGAATTCTAGGGATAACACCATAGTATTAGTACAGGGTGATTCGGAATAACTGTTACTTTTAAAAATGGTCATAACGATTGAACGCTTGCATGATTTTTTTTTATATCAGCACACTTAGAAAAATTTATGTAAATTTAGGTGCTCTGACCCAAGTAGCATTTCTTGTTTTACTGCACTCTATTAGTGGTTATTAAGATCAACTTCATAAAACCGCCAATAAAAATAAATAGCTCCAGCACAACCTTTTGATAACCGCTATAAGATCGTCATACAGCTTAGTGGACCACTCTTGATAAGGTTTATAAAGCATGTTTGAGAATCACAATAAAGCTGTCTTAAAACCTTTTGTCAGGAAGTCTCATACTCTACAAAAGGTTCTAATAGCCTCTATAAGAGTAATATTGTATCCAAGCAGTTTTATTACGCTTTGGTGAAAATCAGTTATAAAGCCAATTTAATTTTTATTGGCCTTCAAAGCAACCGCCATAAATTAGCTTGTTGTTGTTCTGTTCTGCTGAAACTTTTTTTTCCAAATGGAAATCTTTAGCGGTAAAAATAGGTTTGAGTGTTGGTGTCAAGATCACCATGCAATCAATTTTGTTTCATGGCGACATTAGTGAAAATCTTAAAGAAAATATATTACTTTTTAGAAGTTCCAAAACATATGCGCTTGAAATGTTATCGTGTATATTGAGATAATATAAGCGTTAAATAAATGCGCCTTCAAAATAATTCAAGTTAACAAAAAAGATTGTTTCAGAAATCAAATGAATTTGATGGAATCACCTTAATTTTACAGAAAATAGATCTCAATACATAAATTCATACCAATGCACACTGGAAATCATTTCGGATCTTTTATTTAGCCATTATTTTATTGAAATTTCTTGGATTTTATTCCAAGGCTAATGGCATTTTCATAATGACAATATGGCGACAGAGGACAGCAGGCAAGAAAAACACCAAGCGCAATTTCTTAAAATGTCTAATGCTTACATTGCACACTGGGTCAGGAATGCAACCTAGCGGAGCAAAATTAATAACTCCGAAACGAAGCACTTCCGCGACTTGGTGTCTTCGGCAAAATTTCTCGTCATAATAAGGACCATCTATTGACATAAACAAATAGTTCAAAACTCTTCCGCAAAGATAGTGCCACAATCTAACTTCTTTCTCTGACGTTTTGGAGACTTGATGTCTTAGGCAAAGTTGTTTATCTTGACAAAATGAACAGCTCTTTCAAAAACGTTAAATTTCCACTGTGTACTGGTTCCAAGTTATATGGAGTTAAAGAAAAAAATGTCGAAAATATGGTTTTTTTCTGTTTCAGTTTTTTTGCTTACAGCTTTATAATGTTATATTTTTCTCTTATGCAAATACATTAAATAAATAGCTTTTGTGAAGAAACATACTGGATTAAGCTTCAAATTTCAAAGATATTGTTGAAAAAAAAACGAGAAAAAAAACACAATTTTTGAACATTAATATCTCCCAAAGCGCAAAAAATCGCAACCTGACATTTTCAGCAAAAATTAAGCAATACTCGATAAACAAAATATCAAAATTTGAGAGAGGTATATTTTGGTGTTTTGTAGATTTCTTCATTTTAATGGAATACTAACGGGTGCAAGTTGCAACTGAATGCTTATAAT